GTTGTCTAAAGAAAGAGTGTTTTTATCATCATTGTGGTATCGGAATCAGTATTGAGCATCGAGTCTGTTCCTTAGTATTGACATTTTTGTGTCACTGTTCAGAATGACCCAACAATCTGCATAAAGAAAAGTGGTAAGAATTATGATTGAGTATACAGTATAATTACTTCTTCATGCATCTGTGTGTATGCAGTTGTTTTGACAGCCCCCTGGCAGTACTATCACACTCACACGAGGACTGCTATCATGGCCCGACAGCAGGGGCCATGTCATGCGGTGCACGGTGCAGGGATTAAACTCTAATCCGGCTGTTTCAGAAAAGAAAAAAAAGAAAACCACATATGCATGAAAAAGCCTACTCAACAATGACAGGATAAAGTAAGGATGCTCAACAAAAGAAAAGGAGAATTTGGAAAAATGGAAGTTAGAAAAATGTATTTACTGAAAGTTTTAAGGTCAGTCAATGTGGAAATGTTGTTTTAGATTGACAGTTTTATTTCTTTATCTGGAATGTCCCACAGTAGGGCATTAAACATATCTGCCATGTATTTGTTGAATTACAGATGTTTTATAGCTCAAAAATACCTTAAAAACACAAATTCTTACCATGTGCAGGCTTGCTTCTCCATAGATTTGACTGTTAACCTGGCTCTATTTGGATTAGTTTATTTCCATATTCTAAATGGGGTCAGCCTTTATCATCAGAAACCCTCTAGTCAGAAAATCCATGTTCAGGTAGTGTTACAAATTGTTACAATGAAATTGTATTTCAAGTTTTAAATATTTTAAAAAGTAAATATTAAAAGTAATAAATATATTAAACCCTTAAAATATAGCAAAAATGTTTGAGGAAATAATGATTTGGGTGGAAATGGCTGCCTTAAGTGTAACAGGGTTAATAATTGTCTGATTTTCAGGCAACAACTTGCAAAATGTTCAGTAATTTGAGCTCTACAACCTTCATTTCAATTTTATTTTAAATCTTTTTCTTTTAATATAGCATTGGTGGGTTTGTAAACCAACAAATTAAGTAATGCTGGCCTTAGCTAATGCTGTTATGCATGATTATGCGTTTTCCTGTCAATATCTCTAAAAATGTTATGTTGCAGCCATTTTTAATTGGTAAACATCCAAAAGTTTACTAATTCTTCCCTGATATCCAGGGATTATTCCCTGTTGCTTTTATCAAATATACATTCAATTGTAGAAGAGGTAATGATTTTCTGACTAATGGGCCTTCTGACGAGGGGGCCTTCTGATGATAAGGGTGTAACCATTGTAAATAATGAAGGAAAAACAGTAATACCTCCCTGGAGACAAGCAGGTGGCTGACCCTCCATGGGAAAAGTTACATAGTGCATCTTTAAGTGTTTAAGTTAAGGAACAAAATAAATAATGATATTCTTTTTGAAAAATCCAACTTTTCTGAAATGCGTGAATATGAAGCCTGCCTGATGACGTGCACGAAAAAAGATACTAAATCGTGGCCTGAAGTTACTATTTTGTTCCCACAATATGTAATTCGTTCTCACCCTTTAGCCCACGTTTCAACTAACTTGTTTTCACATTTTAACTAACTCGTTCCCATGCTTTAGCTAAGTCGTTCACGTTTTAGCTAAATCGTTCGCATGTTTTAGGTAAATCGTTCCCACAAATGAACCTTTATTTGTGTCTGCAGAAATCCAAAGTCCAGCTACCCAAGCAAGAAGCACTTGCCAAATCAACCTAATACCATGCCCTTTTTTGTTTAATTGGCGGCAATTTCTTAATTTGTGGGAACGATTTAGCTAAGACGTGGGAACAAGTTAGTTAAAATGCGGGAATGATTTAGTTAAAACATCAGAACGATTTAGCTAAAACAAGGAACGAGTTAGTTAAAACCTGGAAACGATTTAGATAAAGCGTGTGAATGAATTATGTATTGTTGGAACGAAATAGTAAGTAGTATCTTTTTCCGTGCGTGTCATCAGGTGGACTCCCTACTTGAAACACATGCTAGTTTTAAAGAAAATTATAATTATTAACATACAGTTCTGACAAGTCGCACCACACAAAGACTTTTTTTTATAATATAAGTGAACTGAATTTCTTTAAATAAATATAAAAATACCCCAAATGTAAAATCAGGATGAAGTGTTAGCTTTCTATCTTTATGGCACAGTGTAGAGTTGATATAACCAGTGTTCTTCTAGGTCCTTATTTGTTTTTTTGTTTAGTTTTTTTTGAGGAATTGATTAAAAGTGTCTTGCTCCAGGTGAGGCTCGAATTCACAACCTCGGCATCACTCTGCAGGTTACTGTTGTATAAGTACTACACGCTGACCAATTGCACCAGTGGAGTTTGCATCAAATGTGACTACTTTACAACAAATCTTATGCGTACAAAATGTAATTAGACAAAATTGAAAAGACAATGATGAAAGATAGAAGACTTTTTATTGCACTGACTGAGATCCAGAGAATTGACTTCATTATAGTTTCCTGATTAATATATCTGAATACTGTTTGTGGCAATTGAAAAGTCTTCTCATCTCATTTCAAAGACAAAAAATTGATATTGAGTTTATTGTAAACTTTTAAACATGTTGCTCCAGGTGAGGCTCAAACTCACAACCTCAGCATCACTCTGCAGGTTTCTGTCTTATAGGTGGGCCCGGTCAAGCAGAAGTAAACAGCAAGGCCAAAAATTCAAGTTAATGCATCTGATATAAAAATGTATTCAACAGATAGCATATGTACTCTAGTTTATGAAACTGTTTACCCTTTTTCTGTACCATTTTGGTTCTAAATGTGTGAAGAATCCCTCAGTCGTCCAGGTAGAATCCATGAGGAGAAAAATTCAGTTTGTCAACTGGACAAAGTTTAGTTTGGTTGAAGACGTTTCGCAGCTCATCCAAGCTGCTTCTTCAGTTCTGGTCAGACGCTGGTGGACACTTCCTTATATCTGCAGGGAGGAGCTAACTAACTGAAACTAACACACCTACTTGTTTACAGTTTCTGTTAGTTAGTTAGGCCTATTGACCTGTACAGGGTGTGGGGTCTAATTAGCATAACAATTAATGGCCATAATGGAGCTTCCACACCTCTGAACCTGACCTGAATAAGGTTTGAGAATGGTCTTGTAAATAGGAGATACATGGTGTCTGAGGCCTCCATTTCTGTATAGAGAAGGATTCTCTTTCTTAACAAAAATGGCTTCTTTCACTCCCCTCTCAAACCAATTTTTCTCTCTGGCTAAAATCTGCCAACTGCTGGAAATCTGTTTAAATACCACCTATTTCCAGTTCAGAGGGAACTTCTACAGGCAATGACCTTTCTTATTAAAACATCTCATTACTCAAAAAGTAAGAGGTTTTTCAACCTAATCTTGAACCACATGGTAGAAAACTATATTAAGCAATTATTCAAACCAGTTTGTTAAGGATATGTAAGTGAGAACCGGTAGTTATTGCTGTTTGTATTTATTGCCCAAAAAGTGCTGCGTATTTCATTCCCTCCGTAACCGACATGAGTTTTTAAATTTTTTGTCAACAACTTGAAAGAATATCGCAGGGTTAATTTTACGCTGTTGGAGTGTTAACTCTTTCCTACATTGTGATACCTTACTTATTTCAATAGTCCCTCTAGTTTCTGAATAAGAGCTATTTGAATGTAAAAAATCTGCCCGTGTTCCTCCGTTACCGCTTGACCGGACCCAGGTACAACACTCTTATCAATGGCGCCAAAGTCATATCAAATCATCAAACTGCTGTAGTTATAGGTGCATTGTGTAACTTTTCTGATGAAGGATCCATCAAATGCTTTTCTTCATCCTATTGCTTTGTTTCAAATGTATGGTATCAAACCGTTCTATCATCATGGAGCCCAAAACAGACAGTTACAGCTCAGATCTGTAACTGGGAGGAATGGCACCACTGTTCCCACTCAGGATGTGTGTGTTTTTGTTTCATACTATGGAACATTCCATGCAGAGCAATGACATCTCCATAGAAACAAGCAGGTGACGGACCCTCAACCAAAAAGCTACATAGTGCACAATTAAGTCTGTATTTCGTCCACCTTCATTGTATTTTTTATTTTATTTTTTCATTGTATTTTTCAAGAACTGGCACACTCTTGGTAGCTGTCCCACACACGAGCGAACCTCCTTTACTGTAATGACACCAGGCTTAAATTACAATTCCATAAAAATATATTCTTTATTCAGCTAATGTCATATACAGGAAAAGTCTGTGATTTTGCTTAGTGCAGTATATGTTCAAATGATCCACAGGCTACAGTTAAGATTTCAGTTATGTTGGTGGCCCCTCATTGCTTTACCACTAGGACACATGTTTTATTATTCAGCACAACCTCCGCTGTAGAAGATGTCCAAGTTTAAGCATTTAAAGGTTGAATTTAATAATGTGAGGATGCATTTTTGGAAAGAATTTACAGAATAAAAACAGCGCATATTAAACCAGGTGTTGACAGAAGTGGAGAACTGCTCATTTTATTGTTTGAAATGTGTAAAATGTGTAGGTTTTGGCTATTGAAATTGTGCAAAAGTAGGAGCTAGCATTGTTTACAAATTAACTTTTCACTTTTGTTAATTTTTACAGTATATTTATCTGGGGTATAAAATTATTGATTACATCACTGTGTAAATAGCTATTTTTTATTTATTATTAATTATTATTTATTTTTATTTTTATTTTATTACCATTTTTACTTTTACTTTATTACACCTGCACAGGAGTTCATTCAAAGACAGCTTTTTATACAGAAAAAAGTAATGTGTGTATTTATATAAAGACAGATTAAACTTTCAAATCTTTCGGCTGTTGCTGTTGATTTGTTGACTAATATGAACTTTGTATTAGTATTAGTTCAAAAGTGAGACACAATTGAATAAGGCCTGTCTCTTTGTATTAAATACTGTTCAGGTTGAAATATTTTGAAGGAGACTTGGATGACTTTTTCTGGCAAATTGATTAAAGTTTTTGTTCATACTCTCTGCAGCTGGCAGCACTAGAGGGAGTGAGTGAGCATGGTCGAGCCGGGCGCCAAGAGCAGCCTGCAGAGGAAGAAACCTCCATGGCTCACAGTGGACATCCCCACCATCCATGTCACGCCTGACAATGGACCAATCAGCTCTCAGGTACATGTTCTACTATAGTATGGATCTAGTAATTATCAGGCATTGTATTCTTCCTGGGCTTTTCCTTGACCTAACCTTAACCCAAAACCTAATCTTAGCCCATATCTGAAATTTAAATTTAATAATAAACTTCGATTTGTGTTCCCATGAACCTCAACGGTGACCAGAAGTACATTTTCCAGTAATTTTTCCATATTCTTCAAATGTTAAGAGTTCGTCATCATGGGCTGCTGTATCAATATATCAGCATGAATATTTTTTAGTATCAGTTAGCAATTTTAATAGACATTTTCACTGTTTTGATGATTCACATAGATGTATTTCATATTAACTTTGCACTAGTAGTGGTTTAACAGAGAAATATTGTTGCTAAAATGTATTTGGTTTGGTGTATCATGTGCAATATATCGATTATTATATGTATTGCCCTATTGTGATAATATTGTATCGTGAGCCATGTATCGTATCTAATCGTGAGGGACCCTGTGATTCCCAGCTTTAATATGTAGTAGTACATCTAAGTATTCTTCTCAACACCGACAACAATGCATGATTAAAAAAAAGCTTTAACTTAATAATAATAATATATTTGTTTACTTCTTCTAGCCAGTGAAGCGTCTGCGCAGTGTGAGCATGCCCACCACATCACAACCCTCTGCCCCTCTCCTCAGACCCCCATTGGAACGCCTTCCCTCTATCTCTCTCTCCATCAAGAGGTAAATATTCTCTCCATCTCCCCCCTTCCTCTCTGCTATCTCTCCCTATACTACTCTGAATGCTACTCTTTCACTAACTTTCTCTTCTCCTTTTCTTTTCTTTAACCGCTGCATTCTTGCTGCACTATCCGGAAAGGGTGAGATTTAAGAGAGTGAACACAGTGCCCCCTAAAGGCCAGCGGGGGGAGAGGAGTGTGTCCACAGTCCGGAGGCGCTCCTGTGTGCCCAAAATACAGACAAGGAGACGATCGACTATACCCAAACAGATTATGAGGTACTACTGATATGTCTTAGAAAAGCTGCTTCCAGTGTGATTAGAACTAGCCTGATTCATCATTATTTCACTTCATCGAAACCGTCTGACCTCGCAGCATTAGAATTCGTTCGCTCAACAGTAGGTGGGTAAGTTTTTTTATTTAACCAATCGCTGCTATTTGGTAGTGGCATATGTAATGCGCCTCTAACGGGGCTAAGTGGTATATTAAGATTTTCCCAAATCCCATAGGAAGAAGGGCAATAACGTCTTTGCTCTTGATAAAATTCATCAAACATTCTCGTTATTCCGGCTTTAAATCTTTGATCTCAGGACAACACAGAATGTACGGCTCTTTGCTGCTTGGCTGGTGCCTTGACTCGCACTTCCGGGCACCAGCACTAGTGTATTCCGATTCCTGACCTAGTCACTGGAGAGAAATGAAATTGAGTGGAGGCACTAGGTGGCACCAGCCTGGCTAGATTTGAACAGGGATTGTTTTGTTGATGTTTAAAGCTAATAATCCTCAAAAACATACCTAGAGTTGTGTTTTATTTCATTCACACACGTTTGAATAACCTTTTATTATTATTATACATCTCCAAAGCTCAAAAGCTCCTCTCTTTCACCTTGTAATGCCATGAAGCGGTAGTTTTCAAATTAAGAGCTGCTGTTTACCTTTTGTTTAGAAGAGGTTGGCAGTTACAGGGATGAAATATCTATATATTCTAGTGAAGGTGCATGGAGTTTAAAAACACAGTGGAGCACTTCCTGTATTACCACATGACATCACAAGATGAAACAGTTTTCTGTTTCAGAGAAGAACTCAGCCTAACTATGCAGAGCTTTTGAGTTAAATGTGTGAATGAAACAAAGCATAACTCCAGGTCTGTTTCTGATGAGGAAATATCATTATAGCATAGATCACATAGAGAAGCATAGGCCATTTATTTGAGCCAAACATTTTTTTTATACATCTGTATAAATTCAGGCGTTAAGGGGATAAGACAGTAAACGGCAGAGTGATGCTGAGGTTGTGAGTTCGAGCCTCACCTGGAACATCTCTGTTATACTCTAAAACTTCTCCCTTTTATTGCTCCCAATGAAAAATGTACTCTGATGAAAATGTATTCAGTTTTTTAATCATTCACTTACATGCTATAACCAGTTATTTGAATACTTAAAATAGCCAAAGTTTTGTTTCACTGTAAATTGTTTGTACCTAGATTTTAATGTGTCTTTTGTAGCAGTATCAGGGTTAGCCCAGAAGTCTTTGGTAATTCAGTGTAGACAATAAGCCAGCCACATCAAAGCAGCTCCACCCTCTGCACCAACTGTCTGAACTCTCACATAGGACTAAACCTGCACTAGGGAGAAGATACTGAAGGCACGGTACCTTATTTGTACTTTTTTTTTAAAAACATGGAAAACAGAAGTAGATAATTGTAAAAGGTTTGCAGTAGTCCACAGCAATAACATATCCATGGAGACAAGTAGGAGTAGTAGTTACACAGTATACCGTTGATATTTGGAGTTTTCAGTGACTCATTTATACCAACCTTGCAAAAAAAAAAAAAGTAACTTGTCACTTAAATCTCCTATATAGGCCTACTGTACTGTTGTATCAGATGTCCATGCTTAGTGTGTATGTTAGTTTGACATGTTTGGACACGTTCCTCATCAGACCCTCCTCCCTCCTTTTGCAGATCCTTTCCTACCTCCTCCTATCCCTCCTTTTAAACTTCAATGTTAAACTCTGCTACAGCTCCTGTCCACTCATAACATTTCAACTCACCGCCAGCACACTGACTTTTCATTTTAACACAACTTTTTCACCCCTCGAAGCTCAAAATCTGGGAGATACTTTTTGGAGTTTTGCCACTATCGTCCGTTTTGAGACAGAACAATTGGAAAGTTATTTTTAGCTTATTTGAATTGCAAGTTGGAGGACTGTGAACAGTTTGGATGTAAGGAAATCCCCTGATGGAACAATTTCATGTGGTGATGAGTGATGTGGATCAGGCAGAATTGGGGCAGAGGGTTAAGCTAGGACAACAGCACCGGACACATTTGTGATGATGGAGGCTGTAAAGACGGATTGGGCAGAGGAGCAGGTATGAGCCAGAGACTGAACCCTTCCTGGAGCTCTGTGGACAGGTGAGGAGACTGAAAGTGGAGGAGGTGTGGAACAGATGTACTTTTTTAACATTTTCATTCAATCTATACCAATGTAATATCCTTGTAATATTGTGGCAGAGCTACTTAGTGGGTACTTGCACTTTTGCTTAAATTAATGTGATACTAATGTGATATTTTATAACATTATTTATAACAGTTTACAACAAGAGTTTAATAATTATTCACAATTTTAAAATGGTCCAATTCTGACTTGACAAGGAAACTGGATGAAATTGAGAATTTCAAATGTGTACTATGTAGCCTAACTTCTCTGGTAAAACGTCTGTCACCTTCTCATCTCCATGTTGTTGCCTTAATGCTTTGCCTGAAAGTTCCACAGTATGACATTGAACATAACTATCTCTTTTTCAAGTTGCCAGATTGCTCATCAACACCCCTTTTCACTGCCACCAGCATACACCCACTACTCTGTATTCACTTTGTTCAAGTTCATTTTATTTTTAGTCATTTTGGTACTAATGAAAAAAAAAAAAAAAAAAAATCCACAACTTGATACTGTGATAAGCAGCTATCCGTCAGAAGTGCCGACAATTTCACAGCTCTTTGTTATAATGACAGTTACGGTCAGTGGTGTAGTGGAGATTTTATTAAGTGGGGGTACGCGATTCGTGACTGAACCAGGAGGACTAAACCAGGTCTAAACCAGGACTGAACCAGAACTGAACCAGAACTGAGTCAGGACTAAACCAGGTCTACACCAGGTCTAAACCAGGACTAAACCAGAATTATCCCAGGAATGAAACAGGACTAAACGAGGCCTTAACTAGGCCTAAACCAGGTCTAAACCAGGACTAAACCAGGTCTAAACTAGGACTAAACCAGGTCTAAACTAGGACTAAAGCCAGGACTAAGCCAGGTCTAACCCAGGATTGAACCAGGACTGAACTAGAACTGAGCCAGCACTAAACCAGGACTAAACCAGGACTAACCCAGGATTGAACCAGGACTGAACTAGAAGTAAAACAGGACTAAACAAGGACCAGGCCCCAACGGTACTAAGTGCCGGTCCTTTCGCTTGTGCTCACCCGATGGTGTACGCGGGTGCACCTATGGGCTCGTCCTGACACTCAGTCCTGGTTCAGTTCTGGTTTAGTCTTGGTTTAGTTCTGTTTTAATCCTGGTTCAGTCCTGGTCCCTCATGTCTCAGGTCACTATAGGACAGTCCTGTAGATATCATGAGCCTATGCAGGATGTTTTCATCATTGCCAAAAGCTCCAGTTTGACATTTAAGTTGTAGCTATTTTATATTTGTTTTGTTTTTTTTTATATCTCATGTCAGGAGAAGTGGGTGGGTGGCATACCCCCGTGTACCACGCCCACTGCATGCCTGTTTATGGTGATGTCGGCTCCCATTGGGCACCACAGTTTGAAAAAATAAAAAAAGTGCAAATTATTACATAATGGTCCATGGGTGTCATAGATTATAACTGTATAGCAGACTCAAGCACAATATGTGTTCTTTAACTTTTCAAAAACACACATTGTATTTTTTTTTAGTGCATATTGATTGAGAAATGTGTTAGACCCAGACTTTACCATTAAATGTTTTGATGACTCCTTTCTATTCCAATATTGCTATAATAACTTCCCTTTGTCTATAATTGCATTGTCACACTCTGTTGTAATTCTATGCTATTAAATAACAAGATCACACAAGAATGCTCCGTGCAGGTGAGCTACTATTTCAAACACAGCATTACCTCAGGGCAAGTTATTAATGTGAATCCACTTGACAAAAAAAGAGCGTGATCTGATCTCTATGTGGCCATGGCGGGTCTTTTCAAACAGTTTGTATCCTAGATTATTATCAAGGCTTTGATTTAAGCCCGTTGTGTTCTGTAACTCCTCATACTCCCCTGGGCTTTCGTCCCTGATGAAATAATCAGTGTTTAGACTGTGGATTGCTTTTGTGGTATCCTCCTTTCCCCCGAGACATGGAACCCATCCACATATTCTAAGTGTGGTTTCTAATGATTTATAGCTGAGATACATGCTTTGTTATTATTATTATTATAGCCCATATTATGGTATTTTCTGATCTATGTTATAATATATACATTTTCTTATTACAATCTTACTTGGAGCTGTGTTTTGTTTCATTCATTCATGTTGTTAAACACAGAAATCCTCCTTATTTAGAGCGAGTTCTTGTCTCATACTGAAAACACTCCACCTTGTGATGTCATGTGGCAATACAGGAAGAGCTCCACTGTGTTTTTAAACTCCATACACCTTCACTAAAATCATTTGGAAAATTTCAGCCCTGAAATTGGAAATCTCCACTGAACTAAAGGTAAAAGATTGTTGTTAACTTGAAAACTACCACTATATGACATCACGAGGTGGAACAGAGCATTTTGAGCTTTGGTGATGTAGACAGGCTTATAATAAAGGGTTACTTAAACATGTGGAAATGAAACAAAACACAACTCCAGATATGTTTTTTGGGGAGGTAACAACATTATAAGTCAGTTTTGCATAATATAGGACCTTTAAACATCCGCTATTATTCATCCATCATATTTGCCCTCTGAAGTGGAAATATCCTAGTACTCCAAACGCAAGATTTAATTGTCTGTGGGAGGACAACAATCAGCATTGCGCCACCCCCGTGCATCCATAAAAGGCGTCCCCAGCTGCAGTGTGTCTTCGGGATGGGGATGTAGTGTTTATGCCTGACTGGGGCTCTCTAAACAGTCCCCCCCTATGAGGCCTCCTGCTCAGCAAGAAGGAAAGAAAGAGTAAAACACCATAGTATAATCTCTTCACTTCACGACATATATACAAGATTTGTCAGAAAAGTGATAGAATTATGCCAAATGCCATTCCGGTCACAATCTGCGGAAGTGTCTTTGGCGCGACTCGAAACGACAAGCACCTTGGTTCATAGGCAAATGCTCAACTCACAATACTTTACTGTAACAGAAATTTGGGGCCAGTGTAAGAAATGGGTGATGTCTACATAAATGAATAGAAAGAGAGTCCACCTCTGGGTACCTAAGACCCTCATCAGATCTCTTCATCCCCCCTGTTTAAGAGTGACGTGATGTTTGTGAAAGTGTCGACTTTTTTGAACGATTCCTTAACATTAGCTGTTGGAATCGGATCTGACTTTTTTTTTTTTAAAGAACCAAATCGTTTCTTTCTGGTTTTTATACAGTTTTACACTGATTCCACCAAGATCATCACAGAAGCAGAGTAAGCAACACGAGTGAGAACTTTGTACACAAAAAACATATTCGGCATCACAATAACAGTTTTGTAATTATTATTATTATAGTGAAATGTTTTATTTAGATTATGCAAAATATCAAAGGGTAAACACATTCCCACTCTCAGTTTGAACCTTTTTAAACAAATCTGAGCCTTGGCCATTTTTCTCTGTGATTAGTTTATGGTTATTAAATGAGTTCTCAAATTGGCTTCTGTCATATAAATGTTCTTTGAAGTGAATGAATCCAGAAGATTCGGATCTCATAAAGGAGCCGAAAATCCCATCACTATTGCCTGCCCTACTATTTAACAAAAGTAGCTGCACTGAATACTGGTGTATAGTTTTGCATATGCATTTAAAGAGCTATTCAGTTTTGTCAATCGTCGACACTATCCCAGACACTTGATTGTTATGGTGTGTTTTCAAGAGTGACAAAAAGCAGAAAGGAATAAGTGGGCAGGGCTAAAAGTTCAAAGTTCTGACTCATGGTTTGAAATGAGGTACATGCCCTTTAGTAAACCAGAAAACAACCTTTGACATAATTTATTAGCTATAGTTTATCCTTGTATGCTTCTATTTCCAGCATTGTTTGTTGGTGAGTTGAGATAAATGCAAAAAACATGAGCTAATCACCAACAGATGCGCTGCAAGCTGTTGTTGCTAATCTTAGCACAATGACCTAAAATGTGGTCATTAAAACATTTGTGGAAAAATCTTGTAAAATTCTGATATTGCTTAGTTTTGTAGTCTTATATTTTATAATCTTATATCTTGTAATATTAAGTGTTTAATTATTTATCTTGGTTTTGGTAGTACTTCATACTTCTGTGAAGTTCTTGAACTTCTGTTCTTGAAAGTTGGTTTGCAGCATTGTAATTTTGCAGGACTTCGCTTATTTTGTGATGACAAAACCTGTTTAAAGAGGGGGTGTTACATTTCTATGGGCTTTTAATTGTTCTTATAACACATAATATGAAAAACAATATATTCAAAGTCCCTGCTCCCCCTTCAGAGTGGTATCACAGCACAATCATCATACAAACTACTGCACATTGCTCTAGGTTTGTGAAGTTGTAGTGTATTCTTTTGTATTCAGGTTTTGTATACCCATGGAAAATTGCTGAGTGAGAGCCTGGGTAGCGCAGAACATTGATCACAATTGGCAAAGGAGAAATTCAATTTGTCGACTGGACAAAAGTTTATTTGGTCGAATATGTTCCACAGCTCATCCAAGCTGCTTCGGAAGTTCATTTCAGAACTGAAGGAGCAGCTTGAAGGAGCTGCGAAACGTATACGACCATATAAACTTTTGTCCAGTTGACAAATTGAATTTCTCCTTTGCCATGGATTCTACCTGGACGACTGAGGGATTTTTTACACATTGAACAGAATTGTACTGCTAACAGTAAGGACGGTTTTTATATAGTCCAAGAGAGATCACAAGATTACTCAAACATGCATGTATGATATAAAACTTCTTAAGGCATATAAAAGAACAACACTATAGAACGCTCCAAATAGTTTTGCATAATTCCTCCTCCTTATTGTCTAAAATTCTAGCTACATTTGTTTGCCCTTCAAGCCAAACTGAAGACTACTTTTTGTGATTGTTGTGTATAAAAGTAGGTTTAATCATGTGGTCTGTGCTGTGTGTCCATTATTGTTCATTGTCTTCTTACCAAAAAAGTTAAACAGGTTAAATTACAGTAGCTGATATTTGCTTCTCTGTCTCTCTGCAGGGGCACGGCAGACTGGTTCGGCGTGGGTAAGGACAGTGACAGCAGCACTCAGAGATGGAGGAGGAGGAGCCTACACCACTGCAGTCACCTGTACGGAGGTCTGAAGGCGCAGGTGATCAGGGACATGATGATGAACAGGGATATGACAGAGCTCCACAGTCAGGACAACCTCTCCCTGGCCAGCACCGAGACCCCTCCCCCTCTGTACCTCCCACCGCCCCCTCACCCCTCCCACCAGCACGGGGGCATGCAGAGGGTAGGGTCAGCCAAACACCCTTTTCACCCTCTCACCTCACCTCAATCTTTTCCTTTTGTGTTCCTTCTTTTTATGTTTCGATTCACTATTTTAGAGACATTGACTTGTCTGCTTGCATGTTTCATGTATAGTATGTGTTTGACTATTGCAACACTTAGCTGATTGCTTCATCTTGGTGGTCATGTTACATTGTTAGGGAGATAACTCAAAAATTATTCATTAGATTTAGAGAGTACATTTGCACTTTCTACTTTCAGTTCATCTTATTTTTTGTCCAATTGAAGAAATATAGTTTATACTTCAAGGTACACTATGTTTATGTGTAGGTACTTATCTTCATGGTGATGTAATTACTTCACACTGTATGACATTAAACTTAATCATCTTCCATCTATTCAATATTTTTTATTGCTCAAAAACTTGTATTCTTCCTGTAATGAGCCCTCTTCGCTACAGATCTGACCTGTAATTTGATCTAGTGGCATCTCCTGTTGAATTTATTGGAATGTTTCACAATAATGCCATATTGAGAAATATTGCAGGCAAAGCAATGACATCTCCATGGAGACAAGCAGGTGGGAATCCACCACAAAAGTTACATAGTGCACCTGTAAAACACAATCTTATTAAAAAGTGTAAATGTGTACACTGTTTCCTTATCTTACCTCTCTCTCCTCCCATGTGCATCCATGCAGATAGTTGACCCGCTGGCGAGGGGGCGGGCCTTCAGAACGACAGAGGAAGTGGACAGTCTCAGTGTCCCACAGACACCCATGACCCCGGGGACAGCCTCCCTCTGCTCTCTCTCCAGCTCCCGCTCCAACCTCAACCGGTTACCACGGCGACGCAAACGGGAGTCTGTTGCAGTCATGAGCCTCAAGGCTGCAGCTGCACTTATGAAGGTCCATAATATACTTTACATTTTATAGTCAACTTATATTGAAATTAGGCATTTGGTAACACATTATTTTATAGTAGCCTTAATACAAACTACCTACCTTTTTGTAAAAACAACAGAACATTTAACCCAACCCCTCCCTCCAATGGCTACTTTACTATAGGCCTGCATATCTGCTACCAGCTTTGGTTTGCCAAGAATGCCATTTAAGTTATCTATCTCCATGGAGACAGGCAGGTGGCTGTATTAGAAAAGTTACATAGCGGACCTTTAAAGCAAATGTATGTAGCCTCTGCTCTTATTATTTAAAAAAAAGGTACTGCTGGGGTTTAGGTAGTGACCATTCAGACCAGAGAGAGGCATTTTAGGTTTAAACCTACTAGATTTCAGCATTGAAAGTGGCAATCCAAATGAGAGACTCATGTGAGGTTCATTCTGCTTTCAGATAAATCATATCAGATAATCATCTTGGGATCCAAAACACATATATGTATAACATAAGTAAATGGGACATCATGGAACTGTAAAGTGTGACGTGTATAGTTCAAAAACCCTGTGACATAGCATTATTGATCGCTGTTGTATTTAGAGATAAGCAGGTCTGACAGCTTCCTCCAGTATAATATGGGTCTTACATCTACAGTATGGGATTACACCACACTGATATATAGCAGTTGCAAAGGGCAGATGTCAAACTACTGTACGTTTAATCCATAGATAAACGGATGAGTGAGGGTCAGTAGATACAAGTTGTGAATTTCTGTCTACTGTGGCTCCTAGAAATGATCAGGAGAAAATGTTCAATGAGAAAACTGTTACTCACACATGATTGTTTACATGTTGTTATACAGAATGTAAAATGTTCTTTTAAATTTTCTTCCTTTATCAGGGCCGGACTATAGGAGACAACACAACGGGCAGATGTCGTAAGCGCAGTTTCATGCCTCCTAGTTTCTATGAGGATGACACAGTGGATTTTCCTGAGGACTTGGACACCTCCTTTTTCGCCAGAGTGAGTTCATTTTCCGAGCTCTGTTTTGTAATTTTTCCTATTATATTCAGTGTACATTCAATCAATAATTTGTCATCTGTGACTGTTGTGACAGAAGCTTAAGTAGTTGCTCTGCCTTTAGCCCAGAGGTTGGTGGCTCAAATCCTGCCCAGTTCACTGTATACTGTTGTTGTGTCTGTAGGCAGTACACTTTACGTACCTTGCCGAGTAAGAATATTGAGTATCTTAAAAAGCACTATTCAGAGCCACAGTATGTAACTTTTTAATCAATAATAAACTCAAATAAAAGCTTGCTTACTGCACTGAGCGGGCTTGCATCTCCACAAATCTGGCACGGAGGAGGGCTCGTGCTGCATGTTTCTATGGAAATGTTGTTTCTTTGAGTATAATCATCCCCAGTATGGCATAAATATTATAGAAATATATTATTGTAGGAATATGTACATTCTCCATGGAGAATGTATGGTTTAAACTTTATATTTCCATAGCATGCATGTGATGTGCCACCTCCAGAAAGTTACACACTATACCTTTAAGTCTTTTAAGTCCTTTCATGTATTAGAAGATATTTTACTGCTGCTACATTATTGTTACTATCTCATATTGTTCAGGAGGGTCTGCATGACGACCTGTCCACTTACGCTGATGAAGTTTTCGAAACACCATCTGAAGCCAACATCAACCAAACAGAAGAGCCCGAGCTGACCGGGAGTCCTCTAGACCGCACTGTGCTAGAGAGAAGTCACCTTATGCTGTCAGTCAATTACACAAGAATCAAACAGTAAAATATCCAAAATTTTTATAGAATGAATGTGTTAATGAATGGTTTTGATTGTCGTGCTGTAGACCTTTGGAGAGAGGCTGGAGGAAGGCTAAAGATGGCTCCATGGTGCAGCCCAAAGTGCGATTAAAACAGGAAGTGGTGAGCTCCGACCCGCGACAGAGAGGGCAGAAGATAGTGGTACCAGTGAAGAAACTATTCGCTAAAGAGAAGCGTCCGTACGGCCTCGGCATTGTGGGTAAACTCACCAACCGCACCTACCGCAAACGAATCGACAGCTACGTGAAGAGGCAGATAGAGGACATGGACGATCACAGGCAAGACCCATTTCTCATAGTAAATTAAGGTTTTGTATTACTCAGAATTTACTTTTGTGAACTTTATGCCATCTTAGAATGAAACCTCAATCAAAAACATACCTAGATTTGTGTTTCATTCACAAGGTGGAATGTTTTGTGTCTGAGAAAAGAACTCAGCCTAAATAAGCAGGATTTGTGTGTTAAATGTATGAAAACAAACAACAACTCCAGGTATGTCTGTAATGAGGAAACAACATTATAACAGAGAATAATGTAATGGGCCCTTTAATTGCTTTTGCTTTTAATTGCCATCTCATTTCTGATTCTGAGGCCCATCTGAAACCAAAAAATAAACTATCCCATTATTGGTCCTTTCTCATGCCTATTACTGAAAATTCAAAACATTATAACAAAATTAAAAAAATGTATTAAAGAAAAAATATGTCCATTTATTAAGAAAATTATTCATGTTACCTCAAGTGGAAAACCAACATTTGCTTCTAGGCCTTTCTTTTCCTACTGGCTCACCTTTGTCCATTTGCTCATCACCGGGTTGGCTGTCACTATCTATGGAATCGCTCCAGTTGGATTTTCTCAACATGAAACCGTGGATTCTGTGAGTGAATTTCTGTAATTTTTACATTATTATAATTATTCATATTTTCAAATTGTGTTACGTTATGTATTATTTATCTGTAGGTATTGAGGAACAAAGGAGTCTATGAGAATGTTCGATTTGTGCAACAGCAGAACTTTTGGATTGGTCCCAGTTCAGTAAGTAATCACCTCTCTGCACTTTAACTGTACCCAGCCTACATTTAAAGGGACGATTTCTAATAAATAAAAGATAAATGGCAGCTAATAATTTGAAAACTATCGCTTTAGGACATCACAAGGTAGAACAGAGCATTTTGAGCTTTGTAGATGTTTTTTTAATTTCTTTTATTAGTACTTCAGAACCACAGATACAAACATAAAGGCACTATACAACGATCACACCGAAACATAGCAAAAAATCTAAACACAATTGTGAAAAAAACCACACAAGACACAAGAAACCCGGCTTCCCTTCTTTCAGTCAGGTTCAATGAGTTAACAAAAAGTTTCAGGTCATTCTTAAAGTGTGTTGTATTTGGTTTTATCTTAAAAAATCAACATTTGTGAATAAAATTTTTACCTAAAATTAATAAATTATTAATACCAAATTCCCTTCTTTTATCTTCTATTAATACACCAAATTCTATTTCTTTTATGGTTAGAGGGGCAAATTGAATTCCCCTGGACTGAAGCAAAATCAGACCAAAATTGTTGTACCAAACTACATGAAAAGAAAAGATGTCCCAAGTCCTTGTCCCCTGTGTCACAGAACACACAATTATCTGTTTCAAATTAGAATTTTTGTTTTAGAAATTCATTGGTTGGATAAATTTTATTCCTTTACTTTAGGGGAAACTGGAAAGGAAAGATATTTAGTTCTAATTATTTAATATCTTTCTTTTAAAAATATAATCTCTTTTAATTGCCATATCATCTTTTAAATGGCTGTAGATGTAGACAAACTCAAGTATGTGTGAATGAAACAAAACACAGCTCACAAGAGTCAATTTTGCATAACATAGGACCTAAATTGTCTACATTTTGGATGGAATTTTAGGATTCAGCTCTTCTTCATGTATTTTTGTACTTTTCTTTTCAATTTTTTTCTACAAACTGCCCCTTGACTGATGTAACTGATGAATTATAATAAATATTGAGGTTCTATCCCACCAAACCAAATTTCAAATTGTGTTTTTTTTTTTTTTTTTCCACAGGAAGCTTTAATCCACCTGGGCGCTAAGTTCTCCCCTTGTATGCGTCGAGATGAGGAGATCTACAATCTGATGCAGGAGAAGAGGGAGCAGGAGAGGGATTCTGGCTGTTGTGTAAGAAATGACCGCTCTGGATGTCTGCAGACTTCACAAGAGGAGTGCTCGGTCAGTAGAACTATGTACTAGGAATATTTATACCAAAACTGCAATTGATATTCAACTAAGTATTTTTGTTTTAGAGTACCTTAGCAGTGTGGGTGAAGTGGCCTCAACATCCCAGTGCTCCCTTTCTGAATGGTAAAGTGCGGCACTACGGGGCTGTCTGCCATCAGGATCCAAGGTAACAGTAAAAGACCAGTGTGATGTTATATTTGAGCTACTTCAACCATTTTTACTATTGAAAGTAACCATAATCATTTTTGCATATTTTTGTTTTAAAAAATATTACAGATATTGCTGACAGATTGTGCCATTGGAGCTTATAAGAAAATGTTAAATTAAAATAATTAATAATAATATGCTATGCTATTCAGTCTTAACCAAACTATATATCAAAGTTACTATACTATATTTGCAATTATAGTGTATTTTTGTGTTTTTTGTCAGCTTTTATCACATTAATTTGAAACCTAACTTAAAGGTGCACTGCGTAACCTTTCTGGTGGAGAGTCCGCTACCTGCTTATCTCCATGGAGATGTTACTGCTTTTCTGGGAATGTTCCATGGCATGACATTAAACCTTTTGATATAGCATTTATTCATTACATGTGTTTCTATTGCTCACAAGTACAGTAATTCCTTCTGTGAACTGAAACTGTGGAGGGACTTTCCACAGATCTGAATTCTAATGTATATTAGTGCAACCTGTTTACCTCCCTCGTGATAGATAGGTTTAATCTATACTGTGGAACATTCTAGACAAAGCAATAACATTTACATGGAGACAAGCAGGTAGTGGACCTTCCACTAGAGAGGTTGCGCAGTGAGCAAACACCTTCATTTTATGTTTTTTCGGTGACCTGTCACGGCCACAGGCATTGCCCTAGAGAGCTCAAATTCAAATCACAATTGTGTGATCCAGGCCTGAATGTAATGAAATATGAAATCTAATAAAAGTGAACTCTATAGCGCCCTCTAGCATAGACGTGAATCGTCAACATTATTGGATTAGTACCAAATTTGGGGATTAAATTCTACACATGAATACAAGCAAAAAAAGTCCATTACAGACATGGGGCATTTTTCACTGTTGACCAGCAGGGGCGCAAGGACTCCCCCAAAAAATATTTAAAAAATGATTACAGACATAGGCTTAGTCCAATCGTGCTGAAATTTGAATCACTAATGCCTGATCCCAGCCTGAATATAATACACTATAAAACATATGAAAAGTGAACTCCATAGCGCCCCCTAGAATAGACATGAAATGTCAACATTACTGGATTTGTACCAAATTCAGGGAGTAAGTTCTATGCATGATTATAAGCAAAAAAATAAATAACGGACATGGTGCATTTTCCACTGTTGGCCAGCAGGGGCGCAATGACTCCTAAAAATATTTAAAGGTGCATTATGTAGTGTGTCTAATGGATGAGCTGTCGGCCTGGGCGGATATCGGGAAGAGAGGGTGGCATGCCAGGGCGGTCGCGAGTCCCCGGAGTTCGCGTGGGAGGGGAGTGCGAGCCGGGGCAAGGGCCACCATCGCCGCGCGCGGCTTTAATATCTGACTAGTCTACAATACAATAATACAGATATCTAGAGGTTAAGTAGACAAAAGTACAAAATTTAACAAAGTGATGAATGATACAAAGAATTTTCTATCTATTGCTCCAATCAAATGACTGATTACTTAGCAGGCTGTTGTCTTTTTGCTTTTTATGGGATGAACTTATCTTTAGGAAACAAGCTATTAGTTTGTATTTTTTTGTATTTTCTTTATTATGAACTGTTAAATGTATTGCTCCAGGTGAGGCTCAAACTCATAACCTCAGTATCACATGGATATTGTTGAGATTGCGTTTTCTACAGTTAATTAGTGCTGTTGATTTTGTAGGATTTGTCTGGAACCAGCCTCAGTATCACCTCATGAGTGGCTTGATGACATCACTAAGTGGCCAGTGAGTGTATTTGAATATAATAACAGTCTGTGCTTTTTAAATGAATGTTTGAATGTGTTTAGATTGAAAATATGAATAATAGGTACTGCTCCAGGTGAGACTTGAACTCACAACCTCGGCATCACTCTGCAGGTTACTGTCTTATAAGTACCACACGCTGACTGATTGCGCCACTGGAGCTGAGAGGGCTTGCCAAAAATGAATTAGGAAATAAGATGATTTTAAAAATGACAGATCCACCAAACTAAATTATAATTTGCTGATCACTGTTACTGTATGCTACATGTGTAATTTGAATGGTTAGGCTAACAAGGATGATATTCTTGTTATCTTTTTTGCCTTAATAGATGAACAAAATCTGGAGGAAATAACTGTTTTTTATTTTGTAAGATGCCAGGTTACTTGATTGTGACTCTTAAACATCAGCTCTAGGTGATGCTCAAACTCACAACCTTGGCGACACTCTGCAGGTTGCTTTTGTATAAGTACCATGCACTGACCGAGCTGTTTTCTTGTTTTGCCTTGTTTTTTGTTTTCATTCAGTCTTCTCTCTCCTTAGGTTTGCACAAAATATAACTCTGGGAATCACACCAACCTTCCACACATCGACTGCACCATCACAGGCCGGCCCTGCTGCATTGGGACTAAAGGACGGTGAGACCATGACCAGATATCAGCGATGTGCTTTTGTGGAACAGCAAATAAAAACTTGTCAGATTTTCTTTCTGTAGTGAGTTATTATGTTATACTTCTAGCCTCATTTCTAACATCATCAGTGTATCTCATATTTTGGCAGTAACGAAGGCGTGAATGACAAAACAATTGGTAAACTGACAAAAACTGAAATCAGTGTATAATTCTTCTGAAATGTGTTTCTATATTCCAGATGTGAAATTACTTCCAGAGAGTACTGTGAGTTCATGCACGGCTACTTCCACGAGGAGGCCACTCTCTGCTCACAGGTAGAACATGGACTCACTTTAGTCTGTCTTTACAATACACGTACGACTTTTGTATATAATGATTTTAGTTTGAGTCTAATTTTCAACAGAAATGTCTAATTTAAAACCACATTGTGTTTATTGCACTGAAAAACATGCTTCTATATGGTAATTGAGCTTCCTTCTCCACAAACCTGACTGTTATTTGAGCTGAAGATTTGCTCCTTTGCCTGTAATATTCCTCTGTATGGCATAAAACATCTATCAACAAATCTATCCTTATGGAGAATGCATGGGTTTAACTTTGACTATTTTCCATGGAAGTTCAATCAGCCTTCACCTTCAGAAAGTTCACTACACTACATCCATAATACTTTTAAGTCAGTCCGATTTTTATTTATTTATCTAACTATGATATATTGTAAGTCATTGCTCCCTGGGATGTGTACAGACGTGTTCCTTGGATGGTGAGTTGGTTTATGGTCTTGTCTGAGGCTCTGGGAATGAGAAGTAGAGCTTGAATCTAGTCTCCACTTGTTTCTGTCAATCATTTATGTTTACTTCTATGATCCAGTGAAAATATCAATACTTCTAGACATATTTTTGGCCAACAAAAATGTGAGTAATTTAAGCCATACTTTCAAATAGACAAATATTATTAATCCCAAAAGAAATCAAAGAAATAAATAGTTCCAAACATTAGATTTTAACCTGTGTAGAATATGAAGAGAGTGTGTTTGGTTCACCTCTCATTTTTTTGTTCATTTTTTCTGCTACAGATCTGCTCTGTCGAAGTTTCGTTGTATTTCGTACAATGACAATAAATAAATCTAAATCTAAAATTTGGCCAGTGAGTGTATTTGTATATAAAGCAATATGAATGCACATTTAAAGCTGAAAAAGTATTGCTCACAACCTTGGCATTCCTCCGCAGGTTACTGTCTTATAAGTAACACGCGCTGACCGATTGTGCCACTGGAGCTTCTACTTCCTCTATTTGCAGTGTCTACCTGTCCCTATCCCCTCTCCTCCAGGTGGCTTGCATGGATGACGTGTGTGGTCTTCTGCCTTTCCTCAACCCAGAGATCCCAGACCAGTTCTCCAGACTGTGGCTCTCTCTCTTCCTTCACGCTGGGTAATGTTTATGAATGACTGACAATAAGAGTTTATGTTATAGTAGTTAATATGCTATTAGTACACCACTGGCTCCTCTGTTCTGTTTTTTTTTCCCACTTATTTAGAGAATATTCCACTTTTTCATTGATTGTGGCTGCAAGATTTAATTTAATTTGAATTTAATTGAAATCACAGTATGAATGGACGCACATAGCAAAGGCAATTTTAATTCCCCTAATTTCCTCCACAAACAACAAAATGTCCACTCTTGCGTAAAAACTGCTAACCCTGTAGTAGTTTAGATCTGTACAAACATGTTCTAAAATGTGATTGTTGTAGTAGTTTGTCAGTTTATAAGGCGTATTTCAAGGTGTCTTGTGTTAATGTGCCTGGACGTGTTTAAAATGTGAACTTTGAACAGAATTGTATTATTAAAACACAAATTTATATATGTGTGTAATCCCTTAGTCGTCTGTTCTGTGAATGTGACTTATTGGTACTGATACCTGCTCAAATGAGTATCTAGTCTCCCACTACATTCAATGACATACTGTTTTTCTACATTTTGAAGTGGTTACTCTTGTTTATGTACTAGATTAGACTGGTATTATTTTACATGTCTTCAGGATCCTGCATTGTCTGGTGTCAGTGCTGTTCCAGATGACCATACTGAGGGACCTGGAGAAGCTCACGGGCTGGCTGCGTATCTCCATCATCTACATCCTCAGCGGGATCACTGGCAACCTGGCCTCAGCCATCTTCTTACCTTACAGAGCAGAGGTATACAGATAGATTAGGAATAGGAAAAAAAATGAAACATGATTTTTTTCCCCTTATTTTGATCAGGTGCACTGTGTAAGTTTTTGGTTGGGGGTCTGTCACCTGCTTGTTTCCATGGATATGTCATTGCTCTGTCTGCAATATTCCACAGTATGACATTAAACAGATCTACCTTGCATTTATTCAATTACAGGTGATTTTATAGCTAAAAAATACCTAGAAAGACTGTGAGTGTGGTTGCCTCTTCACAGATTTGACCTGTAACTTGGTCTGAGTTGGTCTCCATGGCGATAGAAATGTTTAATTCCATATTGTGAAACATTCCAGACAAAGCAGGAAAATCTCATGGAGAAAAGCATTTGACAGACCTGCCACCAGAAAACTTACACAATGCACCTTTTAAACAAAATAGCTGTCAGTAATTTCTTAAACAAAGGCAGACTTTTAAAAATTGCTGTTTAAAATCATTCCACCTCCTCTGTAAGAACTGATCTACCTTAAGGACAGTGTAGGCAGTAGGCACAGAAGCCCAAAGCAGAGGCGACTAAGCAGTTATTTTTAGAAAAACTACTTTTTCGCAGATGTTTTTCTATGAGAGCTGCTCACACCTGGAACTCTGTCCCAGCCAATATTAGGAAAATCATCACTCTAGGAATCTGCTGTAGATCAGTAAAACTCTGGTTCCTGGGCAATCAAACTGCAGTCACAATGTGCACTTGTATCTTTTACTTAACCTTAACATGAGTTTTGTTGTCAATGTTTTATGTCATTATTTCTGTATTGCTGTACATGCAACTCTTTCTATTCTTTAAACTCTTTCTATTCTCTTTCTTTTATTGTGCAATGTACCCTTCTAATATACTTAAGCTGTTGCTACTAGGTTTACTAACTTACCCGTGTGTTTGTGGTTTTTAACATTCTGTACGAGGTTTTGTGGATACTTTATCTTAACATCAATCTGCTTGTTTAGTTTGTGTTCATTAATATGCACTGTCCCATTTAAACAAACAAACAAATAAAGCCATAGTATTAATTTAACAAGTTTGTGGAGCCTATCTCTAAAAAAATATCAGCATGAATCAGTTGCTCCCGATGCTACCCTTGCTGATGGTTTGTTCCATCTCTCAGGTGGGCCCTGCGGGGAGTCAGTTCGGGATCCTGGCCTGTCTGTTTGTGGAGTTATTCCAGAGCTGGCAGATCCTGGAAAGGCCTTGGCGCGCCTTTGCTAAGCTCCTGGCCATTTCAGTCTTCTTTTTCTCCTTTGGCCTCCTCCCGTGGATCGACAACTTTGCGCACATCTGTGGTTTTGTGTCCGGTTTCTTCTTATCCTTTGCCTTCCTGCCATACATCAGGTAAAATAAGAAAAGGCTGTTTAAAGGTATGTTTACAAAGAGATGTTATTTATAGTTTTTCTGGTATGTGCAGTTTTGGTCGCTCAGATATGTACCGCAAGAGGATCCAGATCTGTGTCTTTCTTCTCATCTTCCTGGGCCTGCTGTCCTCCCTGGCTGTCCTCTTCTATGTCTACCCCATCAAGTGTGACTGGTGTGAATACCTCACCTGCATCCCCATCACGGACAAGTTCTGTGAGAAGTACGACCTCAACGCTCACCTGCTCTGAGTCTGACTTGTGACCTCAGGAGAGAGACGATGTGGGATGAGAGAATGCAGCTACTGCTCAGACTGTTGATATTTTGTATTTTCACACTTATTATGGTACTATGAAGAACGCATGTATGTGCAATGATTTGTTAAGAGAAAACAGAGGAGTTGAATGAGAAACTAGAAAATGAACAATGAGTGATTGATCAGTTAGTAGCTGGGCTTTACCGATCAATAACGTTGAACTTTTTTTTACTAGACATCTCCATAGACTGTATAGAAGAAGAATATATAGGGTCTATGGACATTTCTTCCAAAACACTGCCCTCTAGCGGTGAAAAGGGCATCGAACGCTTAAATAATTTAGCACTTAATCCTTGGGGCAGGCCTGTTTACTGTATAATGTGCCTTCCTAATTATATGTATGCACTTAATGTTGTGTTATACCACGTAGCCTAATGGACTTTAAAGCACATCTTTCATTAGTGGGTATAACCTAAACAATTTTCTTTAGTGTTTGGTACAAAATGTAAATAGTTTGGATTACAAATTCTGTGTGTTTTGTAATGAAAGCAATACATTCATTATGGTTGCGTTTTAGCCACCTTTTAATAAACACGATTTAACACCTTTACTGCTTGTCTGATTTTATGGATCACACAATAATTTACCCCACTACATATTTGTAATGTCAGGGTTTTGGATCACAGACTCATGACTATAAAAGTTGTAGTGTCTCCACTAGAGGGCGCACTAACATCGGCGAAAGCTCAAACTGATCCAGGGTGATTCTTATTTGAGGACCCTTGAAAACTGCCCCATTGCCGAGTTATTAGAGGAGATTTGAATGCCATTAACTGAAGCAGGGATTTATTACCTTGCAGAACCCTTGTTTCTGTGTCGACTTTACGTCCCCATCTCACTCCAGTGCGTGCGCATTCACATAAATAGGCCTGATTGCGGTGACATTCATTAAGTCTTGTCTAGTAATTAAGTAGGCTATAACTAAGTGTGTGCTCATATGAGAAAGAGGCTTGGCTTTGAGATAAATAAAGCAGATGACACAAATCTAGATCCCAATTGCTATTAAATTAACAAATTAAATTGCCTCGGATAATCTAGGCCTATATTCTACACCAAACCATATGGATTATTGATTAAATACGTGTAACTTTATTTAAATTGAGTTGTATATAACTAAATTTTAATGTGGCTCGTCCAATTGTAGCGTATCACTCAGAGGTCAGAGGGTCGCTTCTCGTTAGCTTAGCCGCGGAAGCTACTATTATTACAAATTTAATGAATAAATCAGTCGAAAGTGTTTAAACATAAATATCTTGAATACATTTATTACCAAGTACAAAGACATTCAAAAGGCCAAATGTAAGTCGGCTGAAAGACAGGTAAGATAGGGTGACCAAACGTCCGTTTTTCCCCGGACATGTCCGTATTTTGAGTCCTGTCCGGGGCGTCCGGTTTTTTTTTTGGTTTTTTTTAAGTGATGCAAATGTCCGGGTTTTCATGACCGTTCACTGGGGGCATTAAACTGAGCGTCTCTCTTAGTTCTCTGTGACTCAGAAGGAGCGAGCAGACACAAAAAGTCTTAACACGCAGAAACGAAATGCACATTTAACAATGACAAGAAATTCTCCGTTTTCCGGCCCGGTCGGGACAAGTGTGAGTCCATGTGCACAGGTTGAGAGGTGAGAGTACAGTGTCCCTCGTTTATCGCGGGGGTTACGTTCTAAAAATAACCTGTGATAGGCGAAATCCGCGAAGTAGTCAACTTTATATTTTACAATTATTATATCTGTTTTAAGTCTGTAAAACCCCTCAGCACAAACTTTATACACTTTTTTCAGACAGGAGAGGTACAACCCTCTTTGCATCCTTCTTAAAACTTATTGCGGCTGTCGTCTTTATGTTACTTTCCTCCTTCTTAATGAACCAAAGATTCTTTTATTCCGTAATGGAGCCTACAGCGCAGAGTCCTGCACGGCTCCATTTTTGGAGACCCCCAGTACAACACCGCACCCGCCCATTAACCAGAGATTATATCAAATTTTTGCGCTGACTACGCCACGGACTGAACTAAGACTAAACCAGGACTAACCCAGGACTAACCTAGGACTGATTCCAGGACTGAAAAGGAAGACTAAACCAGGACTGAACTAGGACTAAACCAGAATTGAAACAGGACTCACTGTCGGGACGAGCTCGGAGTTGACCGCACGAGAAGGACCGCTGGAGAGCTCCGCACCTCACCGAGGTAAACGCGGCAATTGCCCCCCCACCCATTTGGGTTGTTTGGTAATAATGAAGTTGAGAAACGAATGCGTAATTAAGAAAAAATGTTAGGTACTCAGCACTAAATGTGAGTCAGTCTAGTCACATGTTCTTTGTGTTTTGGTCATTTTTAAGCAGCTTTTCTATATTTTACCAAAACAAATGATCATTTATGCCTCTCTTTACTATTAACAGGGATCAGATTGGTTTTTGACAATTTGTTGGCCAACAAGCCAAAAATAAAAGCTACTCAAGTCAATAACCTAATAATTTTAGTAAGGTAGAAAAAAGTACCCTACCTTGAAAAAAAAAGGAAAGTACCGTACCTTGGGAGACCAGACATCCCTTTTTACGTGGGACAGTTTTGAGCCCTGTGTTCCCTACCTCCTGTCCTTTATAGAAAACCAGTGATCTATCCCAGTTTTAACCAAGAAATGTCCCTATTTTTGACCAATTTAATCTAAACTAGGACTAAACTAAGACTAAACCAGGACTACATCAGGTCCAAACCAGGACTAAAATAGGACTATCACAATTTTTGAATAATCTGATCCCTGCCAACAGTAAAGAGGAGCATAAATTGTCATTTGTTTTGTCTATATAATTGGTCTATTTAGAAGTAGGCTACATAGATATCCAAATAGGCTATAAAATATTAGGTATATTGGTGAAAATGAGTTGCCTGGTTGTTAAGCAGCCCAAAATAAAAGACAAAAATGTACACAAGTAACAATAATTTAATTTCAGAATTATGATACTGAAGTATAGGCCTATGTAATTGGCTACACAAGTAAAATTATGTAACTTATATCTATTATACCCACCATTCTGCAATACTGACAGTTCACTACCTATTTTTAGTAATGTCAAGAATAGGTCTCTGATAAAAAAAAAATAGGCCTGCTTGTATGGTTTGCTGCCCACTAAAGAAGATGAACTAGCCTAACCATACAATATCTTTCCCTTAACAGAAATGGCCAGAATGATGCACCGTCTTTTCCCTGGACAGCGGCTGATATTGATTGTCAAAACCGTTTGACATTTTGCTCATCAGGTTATTTGAGGCGAGAGACAGAATTTCCCTCCAACTTCTGCAGTGACCTTTTTGTGAAGTTTTGCCGTTTCTGTGTGCAGAAGGACTCAACCCTGAACGCCTGACATTTTATTAGCCTTTGTGACAAGCCAAAACTATGGGATGTTACATCTCTGCCAAGGTTTGGAGCTTTATAGACCTTGTTACTACACCTTGTTACTACATTATCTTTGCTCACTTTAAAGTAACTAGCTGGTATCTGGTAGCTTTCAGGAGTCCAGTGATTTTATCTGTATTTTAGAACCAAAAATACATGAAGGACTAAACGTTGACTGGACTAAACCTGAACTAAACCTGGACTGAACCTGGACTGAACCTGGACTAAATGTGGACTATACTATTCCTGTGCTATAATTGTGACATACTTGTCCCAAACCTAGATTGGACTTAGACTAAACCTGCAAATTAAACTGCAAAGACGCTTATTAAGGCTATGCCAAAAGAAAAAAAAAACTGCCTTTCAGATTCTGGTATCAGAATAAGGGGCAATGGTAGGTAAAGTGTGTATTTTCAAAAATGGAGCACTTAGGCCTCTCTAATTTACCAACCACAAAATCTATATCCAAAAATGTCTCAGTCACTACATTTTTAGGCTTCTTTGTCATAAAAGCTCCTAATGACGGCTAATTGTGATGGACAAATGATCCCACTGACAGAGGGGAAAATCATGGAGGATTTTGGAAAATCGTCTCCGGTCCTGTCTTATCCCGTCATTATCAGCAGAAGGTGCTCGGGCTAATGAAGGCAGCACCCATTGCCATTAAGACCCCCCCACACTCCTCACTTACTTCCCATTCCCTACTGGCCCCCCTCCCCCAATAGGAAATTATCTCTCCTCTCCTCGCTACTCTAACCCTCTCCTCTTCCATACTCAATCTTGTCATGTCTTCTGCTCGTTCATATGGTCCCTTACCTCCACTTGATCATCATGTCTCTGCCCCCACCCCTCCTCGAAACTCTCCATCAGGCATCCTTTAGAGATGGTAATGTGACATGAAGAGGATGGCATGTACGAGCTATTGATCAGCATCAAACCTGAATGCCCCTCCACACCCTTCCCCCACCGTATTTGTATTTTATTTCTATCCTAAACTAGTTTAAATATTGCAATGAACTGGGAATAACCTTTCATTATACTCTGTATGTGATATTGTGATTTAGTGTCACAGCGGATAGATCTAACATCATTATAATATGCATAATAATAATGCATTTTATTTATAGGCACCTTTCCAAGAACTCAGTGACACTGTACAAAACAATAAGACAATGAATAAACATTCTTAAAATGCAAACATGTTTTGGTGTTGTCCCATCAGAGCCCAAAATGCAAAAATCTATTTAAAATGTCTACATTTCCTGATAGATAATTTTCATATTTCAGTTAATAAGGTGTACAGCTTGTGATTGAAGATAGGTTATTATTATTATTATTATTATTATTATTATTATTATTATTATTATTATTAGTAGTAGTAGTAGTAGTAGTAGTAGTAGTAGTAGTAGTAGTAGTATTATAGGTATTTGAAGATTATTTATATTATATTTTTCAAGGAAGAAAGGTTTTTATTCCTGTAATGTCATTACAATACATCCCTGATCCCACAGTTTTGATTTCTAATTTAGGTATTTCATTTTTCTATATATCATATGAAACAGTTTGAGAGCATGCAGGCATCTTCTAGTATTGTTGTTTAACACTGGTATTGCTTCACTAATAACATCTCCCAGTATACTATTGAGGAACGCACACATCTGTATTTTGACTTGCAGATATAAGTTGTTGATGTAAATGAGATGTAGATATTTAACAGTACAATGTTGTGTCTGCAGAAGAGGAAAGCTGAGCCTGAAACGGGACCCTGCCAGCTGGCCAGCAGGTGTCCTTTGACAGACCCTCTCCTCATTGTAGCCACAGCAGCAGCAGCAGCACTCTCTCCTCAGGCTCCATCACAGCCCGGCCCATCAGGCGGAGGAGGCCACTGGGACACAGGTAAGGGGGGAGGGGAGAGGAGAGGTAAGTCCCACTATGCACCTGTCTGATCACACCGCACCACAGCAAAGTCCCCTTAAACCCACACAGTCCCATTCACCACCTGGACTGACAGGGAACAACCTCTTTCACTGCCTGTCAGTCACGTTTAGAGCTTCACTGATGACATACAAGTATTTTCTAAGCACAGCATTAATGATGCAGTTGTTATTTTTTTTACTAATAAAGGTCTTAGGAATTTGTAATCCCAGAGGCCATAGCC